TTTTAGGAAATTTTGTTTATCTTTGACACATCATTGAAAGTATTTCCTGAAGAATAACGAAAATTATTTATATTAATCAAAACTAGACTATTTTGTAGAGAATTTTTCCTACAACATCCAATAATGATAATAATAATAATAAGTTATTCTGAATAATATATTTATTATATTATATTTAGAATTTCATACATATCATACAAAAGTTTTCTATGCTATCTATGACAAAGTTGATATGCGTCAACTTTTACCTGATTTAACTGAAAAATGGCCAGCTGAACTTATTCGTCCATATAATGGAAAACCATTTGAAATTCCACAACCAGTATTAAATGATAAGAATAATGAAATAGTCCATGAATATTTTTGGCATAAATTACCAGATTTTATTCCAGAAAATTCAATAATTCTTGCAGAAACGGGTACATCTGAATTTGGTAAGTTCAATTCATATTAGTTAATAGTCAATATGATTTAAATTTGAAGGTATTTTTAATATGCGTGCACCACGAGGTGTTACATTTTTAACTCAAATATTATGGGGTTCAATTGGATATACTGTTGGTGCAGCTTTAGGAGCATCTTTAGCTGGAAAATCTGATAATCGTCGAGTTTTTGTTTTGGTTGGAGATGGTTCTTTTCAAGTAATCGATATAAATAATAAATAGAATAGATAAAATATTTTGTTTTATTGAATATTGTAGCTTGTTTGTCAAGAAGTATCATCTATGTTACGTTTTCAAACAAATATAGTTCTTATATTATTAAATAATGACGGTTATACTATTGAAAAGCTTATTCATGGACCTGAACGTGCTTATAATAATATTCAAATGTGGCGTTATCATAAGAGTTTTGAATATTTTGGTGATGGATTAAAACAAAATTGTCCACAATCGATAACTGGTTTTGCTGGTCAAGTTAAAACTCGTGATGAATTTGAAAAAGCCATGCAACAAGTTGTTAATGAAACCGATAAAATTCATTTTGTTGAAGTTATTATACCATCAATGGATGCACCAAAAAGTTTAGTTGTTACTATTGAAGGTACACGTGAATACAAACGACGAGAACGTGAAGGACAAGAATAATATTCTATTGAACAAAGCAATATTTTCAGCGACTCTTTATTTAATCTCTCTATTTATTAATTGTAGTATATTTTATTTTAGCTAATAAATCTTTTTTTATTAATGCATCAATTCAGCTAATATAATCATACTTTTCTTTAGTTGCTTCGACAACAGAACAAACAATTAAGTATCAAGACAAAATTCTCTCTATCGTAATGGCTCAGAAGCAAATGAGGTAAATAAGGATTTATCAATATCTTTTTATTATGCATTTTGATGGTTTTGATTTTATTCAAAAATATAATATTGATGAACAATTACACTTAGTACATTCTCGTGCATATAATTAAGCTTTAAAAAAATGATCATTTTATTGTACGAATATTTTGTAGAGATTCATAAGGATAAACTTGTACATAAGCAATTATTAACACTTATGGAGAAACGGTAAGAGCCAATGTACTTGATTCAGAAATTATGACAATAACAATAGCTTACGTCATGCATGATAAAAGATGTCTAATGACATTTGTTTACATATTGGATGAACCGTCAGATGAAGCTAAAACAGTTTATTTAATGTATTCAATAATTGGCATATATATATATATATATATTTAAATAGAAGATAACGATATGAATAAATGGATATATGTTAATGATCGTTTTATTCATATAACAAATAATATAAGTACACATGCCAAAGATTATAATCATCATATTAAATCCTAGTATAGCGGGCGATACACTAACAGATATATGTTCAAATAAAATGGTTAAAGTTTAGATACACATGAACCAATAGTACGTATTTCTTCTGGTCGTGCCTATTTACATTTCATCATATTAATTCTTATCAAAGTAAACATGATAAAAAGAAAATTATTGTTAATATCGGAGTTTCCCATAATCGAAGAATTATTAATGAACTTTATTTGGATGAATTATGCCAAAATATATTATGCAAGAGAATCAAAAGGGAGTCATCGTCATAGTTATGTAAATGTTCTTATGACAGTTCAATTTGAATTACCACATAATAATCTAAGATATAGTACAAAACTATATTGATATATTTATATGCTGTACATACATTACCTAACCGATTGTTTTGATATTGTAATTAAATAAGAAGACGATGAAGTTGGTTTATAACAGAGCCGCAATAAATGCTTACCCTTTTTGTTGAAGAGTATTTTTGATCATATGCATGCACAAATCTCAAGTTTCTTTTTACTTCATAATATAATTATTGTAGAACTTTAGATCAATTTCATAAAATTTTATGGATATGAAAATGATTATTATCAAGAGTATTAAAGTAACGCATAGAAAGAACAATGAAATTAGTTGTTTTTAGTTAGATTTTGCAATAGAATAACAGTAGTTTCACTATTATTAACAAATAAAAGACTTTTTCAATTATTGTTGAAGAATGAATACGCTTTGAACTTTTATTTAATTTACCGATTAATACACTTGCACATTCTAATTACATTGTCTCAAAATGAAAAAAATCGTAATGCCAATTGATTTGATCACAGATTTAAAACAAAATATTGAATTGCTTTTACTCTCAATCATAGGCGGCGGAGCAAAGTAAATTTAGGGGAGGCTCAAAAAATAAATAAAAAATTGGAATACGAGCGTTGAAAGGTACTAAGTAATTTATGGAAG